GAGAGAGAGGGGTTAATACACACACTCCTCCTGCACACTACTGTACACTGACACTGCACAGAGAGTGTGCAGAAGTGCGTGTGTGTGTGTGTGTGTGTGTCTTAGCCTGAGAAAAAGACTGAATCAGAGAAACTCACTCCAGGAGGATGTTGTTCATGTCCAGAGTGAAGAACTTCTTCCTGCCCTCCTCATCGAACTGCCGAGACGCCTGGGGAGACAGAGAGGCGTCAGCACGGGGCAGGACACAGCTCAGCGGGTACACAGTCCGCCTGCCACCCCCGCCAGCTGACCAGGAGCACTGACCTGTCTGTCCCTCTCTGCTCTGCTCTCTACCTGTCCCTCTCCTCTCCACCTGTCTGTATCTACAGGGGAGCAGCGGCGCCCGCAGGCCCGGGCTCTGCCTGCTGCCCTGCTCTATACCAAGAGTGGCGGGGGAAGTGTGCGACGGGCACTGACCGCTCGCAGGTCCTCGATGCGCTTCAGGAGGGGCGCGGGCAAGCCCTCGGGGAGCGGGGGGGGCGACAGCAGCCCTGCACCCTGCCTGGGGCCCAGGGGCCCCCCCTTGGCCGCCGCCCCCGGGAGCGCGCCGTTCTCCTCGGGGCTGCGGGTCGGGGACGCGTCCAGCAGGCGGTCGAAGTCCAGATCCGCCAGCAGGTCCTGCAGCATGTCACCGTCGGTGGCCGAGCCCAGCAGGGACATGACAGCGGGGTCGGGCGCCAGTTCAGCTGCAGCGGCGGGCGCAGCGCTGGGGGGGGGCGGCGGCGGCACGGGCCGGGCCTGCGGGGGGGGCAGCGCGGCGCCCGACAGCGCCTGCTTCTTGCGCATCTCCTCCTTCTCGCGCGTGAAGCGGCGCAGCATGGCCGCCAGGGACAGAGAGTCCTTCATCAGCTTCTTCCTCTTCTTCTTGTCCGGTCGGTGAGCGTTCAGGGCCGACACACTGCACAGGAGAGAGCGGTCAGTCAGTGTGTGTGCGTGGGCGCAGGCAGGGGGCAGTGTGTGTGCGTCTGCGTGTGCGTGCGCGTGAAGGCAGGGCTCACCCTGGCTGTTTGGGTACTCTGTTCTTTCTTGGCTTCTTCTCTTTCTCCAGGCTGCTGCCCTCATCCTTCCTCTTTCTCTTCTTCATCGCTCGGTCCTCACCGTCCTTCATCTTCTGACAAAGCAGCACAAGACACAGTGAGAAATGGAAAAGAGGCAACTTAACCTC